GCGTATATCATCTATCGCTTGCAATCACTATCTACATGTAGTTGCTTACAAAGTAAAGAAAGCAATTTTAAAAACGAGAATTTAAAAACTTTCAAATCCTTTTTTTTGGCATTGAAGTGGTTTATCAACTTCATCAAATCCAGCTATGTGAAGATAACAAAAGAATCCACAGAGGTTACTAGAATGTGCTTATGTGCATTATTAATTTCAGATTGTGACCACATGGTACTAGTTTCTGTTTAGTATGTTCTGAAGTTCAACAGTGATGACGCAAATTATTATTTTGGATGCAGGTCACTTATTTGTTTTCTCAAAGATATGTGTGTATGTTTGTTCACCTAATCACTTTCATTTTTGATCTTATTTGTTTCTCAGAACTCTTTTTTGTTGGTGTATTGAAGAACTTTGATAATTAAAAGACAGAGAGACTTAACGAAAGAGGGAAACAGAGTTACAAAAAAAACTAAAACTTCTTTTATTGAAAATCTGAATATGTTACAAAACAAGATATCATCTTAATATATATATAGGCTTCAACCGACATGACCGAAACAACACTCACTAACAACAAGATGATATTTTCGACTTATGACTCTTAACATAACTACTCTTACTTGGTAAATAAGTCACGACTCTCTTAATACATACATACTTAACATAATGCGTAATTATATAATTATACAAGACCAACGACCAAATTGGAGATATTGACATTGAGATAATCAGATGCAGTGGTGTTACCTGCAGTGTCAAACCTTGAACCAAAGCCTCCAAACCATGAAGTAGTAGAGGCGCCATCAACTAGGTCTCCGAAGCCATATCCGGCCAACTTTCCGGCGATTTTTCAGGTGAAGTCCGTCACCAGATGACCGGATTATGGAGTATTTGGATTCTTTGTAATGAGCACTATAAAATAGTGTAGTTACATTTAAAAATTGAAGTTATATTGAATGAGAAATTGAAGTCCAAAATGGTGAGCTTGAAAGCTTATAATAACTAATATATACATTTGTCCCACATTGAAAAGATGAAAATCTTCCCTCTAATATATATAGTGTTACACATATAACATGGTTCACTAGCTGTTAGGAAATAACACTATAATGTAGGAGATGCAAGTGTATTATGCGAAACAAACTACACGCGCGCGCCACTGCCTTGTGTCTTAGTGATTGGTGATTGTGGGCCTAAACAAAAGATAATTCTTATTGGACAATATTACTTATGAGACATTTGTTACATTTATGAAATAATCTCAAAATAATTTTGGTCCAAAAACGAAACCAAAACATTTGCATAATAGAAAGCATATTCGAGGAATATTCAAAATTCGAATTCGAAAACAGAAGTGACTCCGCGTATCTCGTCAAGAGCACAACCGGGCCGAGTCTTCCGCTTCTATCCTCACGTCTCAACTTCCCGAGATCTCCGCGCACGAGCACACGATATTTGGATTGTACCATCCTCACCTCCTCGCTATAAAAGCAAGGCTTCTCCTCTCATTCTCCTCCCTTGCTTTTCTCCCAAAAAGCAAAACGAAACCTCTCTCCCTCTCTATTCTTCGCAAAGTAAGTTTATATCAAGAGTATATTGTATATATCAAGTTCGTAGATTCCGAATATCGAGTGTTGTGATATCGGTCTCATGGTGATTGTATCATGCGATCCATCTGCTCATAAACCGCCACACTGCGGGAGCTATTTTAGATTAAAGAAAGAGATATCATATGAAGCAATAAATACAGTATCCTATTATAATGTTTCTAAAAACTTTAATCTTTGGGTCTTACACAGATCTTATACCATTATTTATTTTTCTACTCAATGTCTGAATTATTGTTGAGCAAAAACATGTCTTTGAGTCAAAAGAGTAACAAATACACATTTAAGCCAAACATCAGATCTTCTTACGATCTACATAAAAGACATCAAAGTCACCACAATGAAGAAGAAATCACATATGTAGTTCACATTGATAAAGAGTTTTTGGAAACTTTAATCCTTGGGTCTTACACGAACCATGCAAATTACATTTTTGGTTCAATTGAAACATTTAAGCCAAACATATGATCTTCTTAAGATCTACAACACAACAATCACCACAATGAAGAAGGAAAACATTGTATGTTCGTCAATGAGGATCAAAGGACGACAACTTGGCATGAGCTAGAGCGTCTTGGAATGGTAAGGAGTTCTCTGAGGATGACAGATTCCTTTCTGGAACAATTCAAACATAGAGTGACTTTCTTGAGGACTGGTGAGTTCTCAAGAAAGTAACTCACTAATTTCATCTCCATCATATCTAATGACGATTCGATCTTAACATACTCGAGAGATGATAGGAGACGCCGAGGTCGAGATAAGATACTAGTTCTCTCCTTCGGATAAGTAGTAGATTCCTGATATATTACAACCAAGTGAATGAAACAATTTTGAGTAATTATGATACTTTCCCCATTTGCAAGTTTTAAGTAAACAATCCTTACCACTACAAGAGAATTTAGATTCGGGCAGCTCTCAAGAAAGAATGGCAATATTTCCCATCTGTCGTCATAGAAGTCAACACTCAAGAAAGATAGGTTACGAAATAAGGGCAGTGGTTCACATCTTGAATAATCATATATGACCTACAACAACCACCAAAAAAAAAGCTTTAAGACAAGCTGATAAAATAAAGTTAAACCTTAAAATTGCGCGGATTCAACATACGTTACCTCAAGAGTACATGGAGCAATGATCAGATTTTTGACACTAGAGATCCTGGCAAGAAAACTACGAATCATTTTTCTCTTTGGCAGATCCTTGGGATCAAACTTTTTTCCCAAACAAAAGTTAAACTCAATATTGATATCCGCCTTTACAAGTGAACTCGAATTCTTTATTATGAAACTTGCAGTTACTTGATGAGAGAGCTTGAGATTCTCAAGCTTGGGAGCATCAATTTCAACAACTAGATCTTTATCATGAAGACCTTTGTATCTGGGGCCGTAATAGTTGAAGCTCAATAGAGACTGAGAGCTCACACGTAAAACTTTTACATTGTCAATAGTACTTTTGCATAAAGTTAAGCTTTCGAGAACTCGGCAGCCTGAGATAAGCATTTCCAAAGCCAAATCATTTTCAAACAAAACCCACTCTAGAACGATAGCTTTGAGAGAAGGTAAAGACACAAACTCAAGATTTGGCAAGATTACGCCACAAAGCTTTAAAGATACCAAGCTCTCACACATGTAAAGTATTGGAGGTATCTCCACTGCACTCCACGTAAGATCGAGATACTGAACTTTCTGCTTAACAATAGTGTTGATCCACCGCCTCATATCGTTTTCAGTCTCCTCATCAACATCGCAATAGCTTCTTAACTTAAACTTGTTTAAGCATGACTCACGGTTGAAACTCAGAAACCTATCGATAAAACTCACAACAACATTGAATTCCTTGAAATCCCGACAGTCCAAGTCCAAACCAGGAACATACCTCCAGAGATTTCTCCATTTTCTGGATAAGACACTACTCTTAACCACATCTTTTGTCGGAAGATTCAGGAGAACATGAAAAAGCAAAGATTCTGGCAAATCTCTTACCCAATCAACTTCATCTCCAGATCTTTTTTCGGAAGATTCAGGAGAACATGATCGTTTGGTACGAACACGTTTCTCTCCGTCTTCATCCATGTACCGTCAAAATTGCGAAGAAAGAGGCAAAGAGTATGTGAAAATGAAAAGATAACTATTAAACCTAAACCTAACGGCTTCGTATAAAGATCACAGAAAAAAACAAACGCCGTTAACGTTTTAAAATATCTCAGATTCTGGATTATGGATTTAAAATTAATGATGGATTTTAATGGATATATATATATACATATATATATATAAATATATATATATATATATAAATTTCTAACCTTTATATATATGTTATGTTAAAAAAAAATTAAAGACAATTTCTTTTTGTTGCAAAATATAAAAGTTAAAGTTGGTGTTTGTAATGAAAAATTAGAACGATTAATTTTTTTGAATTAAAAAAAGAAAACTCAAAGTTTTTATCATTGAATCGCAAGATGTAAAAATCAAATCGTAGATACGCTAAAATATTTTAAATTAAAATAATGATATTTAAATACCATGCAATAACACAACCTTTTAGTTTATAAATAAAATTACAAATAAAATTTCAAATCTTTTATTAATTTATATTTTAAAATAAATATGTATTTACGCATTATAAGTTGAGGTTTATAGATTTTTGGTTTCAATTTAAATTTATATAATATATGAAATAATTTGTTCATGTTGAAATGCATAAAGTATATATTTATATTGTTTAATTTTCCAATAGGAAAAAAAAAAACACAATGCATTTAGTAGAAATAATATCTTTTTTACAGAAGATTTAAAAATTCGAGATATTTAATTTTGATAAGTTTTAGTTAATAAAAATAAGTAGTATATTGAATTAAAAGTCTTTGACAAGAAGGATAGTGGAATTAAATAAATCAAAAATAAAAAAAATTTAGAAAAATTGTGGATTTGACACATTATCAAAAAAATCCCTATTTTAATATATAGAAAATTAGAGAAACTAATTTCGAATGACAAAAAAAAATTAGAGAAACAAAATATAAATGGATCAGTGTATAATTAAGTGAAATAAAAATAGTTAAATCAAATGAACAAACAATTAATAATTAAATTAATCAGTGGCACTGGCCCAGTAGCCAGTGTGTAACAACAGGTCAATAGCCAAAGATCCTAGAAAGATTGACACATTAAAAGCTAATTAAATTATTCGAACCTAATTTTTCTTGTTCAGATTTGTTTACCTTTAAATTATTCATCGATGTAACCAAATTTTTAAAAAAAGACATCCAGGTTATTTGTACGACTTCGGTGTATATATCATCATCGCTTGCAATTCTTTACTATCTAGTTGCAACAAAGGTAAGAAAGCAATTTTAAAAACGAGAATTTAGAAACCTTCAAATTCAAATCCTTTTTTTGGCATTGAAGTGGTTTATCAACTCCATCAAAAATCCAGTTATGTGAAGAGAGAAACAGATAATCCACAGAGAATCAACGCCAAAACACAATCTATCGAAAAGATGAGGTTGAGAAATTAACAGACGCGGCTGGTGATATTAGAAGATAGAGACTTGAGCTGTGTGTTCCATTTATCAACCGCCTTATGCAGCTTCCTTCCATTGCCACTGTCACCTCTCAGCAAGTAACGGTTCATTTCGTCAATGTGACCGTCGATTCGACTGTCGAGTATCAGCGACACTAGCAACTCCGTCACATCCTTCTCTGGTACGTTCAGTTCCTTTGATATGAACGGAATCCCTATCTTTGTGTATGGCTTTATCAGCTTCAGCAACACTTGTGTTCTCACTTTCCTCAGCAGATCTTCCATGTAGTTTCTGATGAATGGATCATCCATTATCGTCCTCCGGTTACTCTACATTCCAAAACCATTACATGAGTATCGTTTTTGAGATATAATGTGTTAAGAAACAACCCAATAATACTTCACTTATTACCTTTAGAATTCTCTCAAACTCTATGATCTCATTTCGTTGATATGCTGCGATCAAATTTGTCATTGCCAAGATCTCAGGGTCGTTTTTGTACCTGCGGAGAGCTAACTATGAAGCAGCCAACCAAAACTGAGTGTACAATACAAAATATTTAGGGAAATAACTTACGGCTTTGCCTCTTGGCCATCAAATGGATTCACTTCCGACTCCATCAGCATATTCGCGAGAACAAGATATCTTGCAAAGCAAAAAACAAAGATCAATAACTCTTGAACATGCTTGGACCAATCACAAGAAGCAAGATACAGAACAAGAGTATAAGAAGAAATACTCATGTGCACCACATGTTCCCTTAAGTCAGATCTAAACAATATAGCTTTGCTTTATTTATCCAGCAAATCTTTTCTGTTTACTTTTATACCATGTATTCATGTAATAATCAAGTGACCAGGAGCGTATCAGATTGGGAAGGATAAAGAGATGAGAAGATAATAGGAAACATACTTCAGGCACTGTATACGTCTTTGGTTGCCAGCTTCATCGTAATTTTTAAAAGCCTCAAAGAAGTCTGTCGCTGCTTCTGCCCACTGACGTTCTGCCATGTGCATTTTTCCACCACACTCGCGGATTATACCCATGATCCTAGGATGAGGTATGGCAGATTTGATGGAAAGTGCCTTATGGTATAGTTGCTGCATCCATTCAAGAGTGTTGTTGCGTCTCAGTCACAAAAGCCAAAAGAAAGTATGCAATAATAAAATCACAGAAACTCGAAATTACTTTGAGGTAAGAAAACATATAGCAGATGATGTTTACCTTAAGCTTTTTATTGTCCTTCGTTTCAGTGTAAATCTGAATTTCAATTGCATAAACCTCAAGCAGCTGACTTCCTTTCTTCTGATCATCAGTTCCATCTTCCTTTTGACAAGATTTATGGAGTTCCTTAAGAATCTGGCAAGCAATAATAGATGTTATTTTCCATACTAAGATCTCTAAACATAAGTCAAAAGATTTGATTAAACACAATCACACCTTGGTCATACGTCTGTATTCACCAATGTCAAACCAGATGTTGCAGAGTTTAAGATTCGTCTTGAACCAGAGTCTCTGTGAAAGAAGAAAAATATGTCACATCTCCAAACATTTAGGAAGGACCATATACAAAACGAAAGAATAGCTTCCAGACCTCATTCTTAGCCTCTTCAAGGGCTTTCAAAGTGGTCTGATAAAACTCTTGCAGCAGGCCAGTATTCTGGCTAGCAGATCCAGAGACGAAATCCATAATATTGTTTATACATTTTTCGCTGTAATTCCTGGTCACTGCTGACTTGATATATGTAAGCATCTCTCTATAGGCTTCCATCATTTCTTTGTATTTACCTAGACGATAATAGATCTTCACAGTCTGCTTAAGAGCTTTGAAACCCCTGAAAAGAAACAGACCATTGAATGGTTAAACTAGATTAACAAAACTACAAATAGACTATTCATACATACTACAGATAGACGAATAGTAGAGGCAATGAATCTTTAGGAATACCGTAACTAGAGTTACATAAACCATAACTAGGGAAAAGGGTCAAATCTGAATGCACCAACAACCGAAGTTCAACAATCAACATGGTCAAAAGACCCCTATTTGACTGCAACTAAACAAGCTATATTACATGGTAATTTATAAACAATACCGGCAATGAATCGTAGGTATACTGATGTTTTGTATAATAAGGAAAACAGACTATAGGAACAAAACCTAACTTGACATAAACAAGGAAAATCTTGCAGGTAACCTAGAGATCATGAAAGGGTAAAATCTGAATGCAGCCACAGAACAAGTATCCTATTATAAATCAGAAAGAGTATCTCTATCTCTTCCATCAACATTACGTTCAAAACCCAGACAGAAACACAAATCTAGAATTCCTTTTGAAGATGTACAACAATCACAGACACTATTCAAAGGTCTTACCAGTCAGCTTTGTCTGGTTCCATCTGAACAACCTCAGCAAACCCAGAAAGTGCATCTTCAGGTTCAGTCTCAACCATACCTTAAAGAAAGAATCAAGATTTAGAATCGCAACACAAGTTTGAGAATGCAAACACAAAACAGAACGCAAGAAAAAAAGAACCTTTAGAGTTGTAATACTGGTTCTCAATGTCAACATCTTGTTCCTCTTGGTCCTCATCAGAATACTCGAATCCATAGTCCTCCATATCAGCATCTACACAAAAAATCGAAAACCCAAATCAATATTAAACCCTAACGATTCGTAACAAAGTAAGTAGTCGAATTCGTGAACTTTCAAACCCTAGATGGTTTCAGAGTAGAAGATTAAACAAAGCAAAGCATGAACAAGACCTGAAGCCATGACGATTCGATGAAGAAGAAGAACACCAAACGATTCGTGAATTAGGGCAAAGTAAGAACGATGAGAGAATTTTGCTTCGGCTTCAGATTTTTGGGTTTTTCTGGAAGTAGAAGAAGAAGAAGGTGGAAGCGGTGTGTTGCTGGATTTGTAGAATTTTGGTATTGGGCCGAGAAACCAAATAAGATAGTCCATATATATAAATAAATATAAATATTAACTTTGGAAATAAATTTTGATCATGGTAAAAAGGAAATTATTAGTTGTAATTATTTACTTTTTAAGAAAAATATAAATTTTTAAAAGTTGTTGAGATTTGAAGAAATTTATATGGCATATATGATATATTATCAAAGGGAAAATAAGTTAGAGAATAACATAAATTTTAAAAAATAAGAACATAATTAGAAATTGGTCTTGAAAAAGAGGTTTTAAGAATTTAATAGCACTCTATCATATAAAAGACTGAAAAATCTAACAAACATTTATAAGTTTTCTCACTTAGTAATCTATACTATATCAAAGTCGAAGTTATAAGCTTTTGAGGCCGTCCACCTAGGATTTTAAACCACCAATCGCGAATAGCCATCTCATTAATTAACTTTTATTTAGATTCTATTAATTTTTTATATTTTAAATTTTTGTAAGATGGGAAAAAGCAACATATGAAAATAAAAATAAATATTTGAAAATATGGAAATTTTCTAAATATTTTGTCATGAAAATATATAAAATAGAAAGAATCAATATGTAAAGTGTTTCTTTTTTTTAAAATATTAAATTTATAAACGAAAATATTTTAAAATATGGAAAAATATCGAAATAGAAAATTTGTTAATGAGAACACAAGAAAAAATGTTGAATATTTAGTTTAAAATTTATTAATTTATATAAAAATATTTCTAAATTAGAGAAAATATGACAATATATTGAAGCAAGTGTGTATAAAAGTGGAAGCTATAAGCTTTTGGACTGTCTATAGGCCTAGGCATATGGGTAACCCGTTCGGGTTCGGGTTAAATGGGTAATGAATTTACGACCCATTCGGGTATTTCTAAACATTCGGTTCCGGTCCGGTTCGGGTTGGTTTGGGTAAAAAGTTTTAGACTCTATAAATACCCGAAAAATATGGGTACCCGTTCGGTTCGGGTATTTTATATGTAAAATGTCGGGTTTTGTACGTAAAATATCGGGTACCCAAAAAAAACCTTAAAATTTTGTTAAATTTTAATAAATTTAGTTATATTTGAATACATTTTTCTAAATTTTGACAAACATAACAAATAATTTTTGGATAGTTTGGTTGTTTTGGATATTTAAGTCTAAAGTTAATTGACATATTTAGATTTATAATTGTAATTCTAGATAACTAAATAAGATTAAAATTATATATAATTAATATTTTGGATAATTAATTATATGTTCGGGTAATCGGGTACCCTGTTTGGGTAACGGATAATACTCGAATTGACCTGATACCCACGGGTTTACCAAATCTGTACCCAATGAGGTAATTTCCTCTTACCCGTACACGCACCGAACCGGTTTTTTTCGGTTCGGGTATCGGTTCGAGTTTAGGGTCCGATTTTTTTGCCAAGGCCTAACTGTCTACGTAGGATTTGAAACGACCAATCGCTGTTAGCCATCTCACTACTTAATTTTTTTTTTAGATTCTATTAATTTTCTATATTTTAGATTTTTGTTTACAGGAAAAAAACAACATATAAAAATAAAAGTAAAATATTTAAAAATATGGAAAATGTTTTAAATATCAAAATACAAAGTTTTTCTTTTATTAAAATTTATCAAGTTTATAAACGAAAATATTTAAAAATATGGAAAAATATTGAAATATAAATTTTTTTATCGAAATCACACACAAAAAATAAGTATTTAGTTGAAAATTTATTAATATAAAAAAGAAAATATTTATTAAAAAATAATCAGTCGTTATTAGTGTCAGTAAATTTATTAGTGCTACATCTCTTCTCTTACTAATAAAAGGTGTTGTTTGAGGCCTCTTACGCTATCCACGTCAGCTTTTTAATAATTTGTTCTCAAGTTGACACGTCATCAACTCTCAAAATTTAACTCACTCACAATTCTCTGCAAGCCACGTCATCCCTGAGCCTCTTACCTATGCAATTTTACACGGTACCAAACTCAAACCCTAAACGCATACTTTAATAGGCCAAAGCCGAATCGTTTCTTCTCCACTCTACCTCAACCTATTAAATTCTCCCTTCCTAATGAATCTTATGGAATCTGTTCGATTCCTCTTCCTATTTTAGTTGCTCACTTTTCACGAAGAAAACATATTCCCTCAAGGCAATCATTTCCACGCAAATGATTTCTATAGAGAAGACCAAGAGAATAATCACAAGGTCGAAACTTTGGTGGATGATGTGGAGGATCAAGTTTCCAAATCTTGAAGGCATCCATGGTTAGAAAGTAGAAGCATCAAAGAAAAATCTGAGAAAAGAGATCACCGGTTCAAGTGAAATTGTGTTTAATTATTACTTTTGTGTTTAATCTGGTTTATTTGGATTTTAGTTACTAAGAACAAAACCCTAAAATTAAAAAACAAAACGCTAAAGAACAAAACCGTAAGAAAAAAAAAACAAAACCCTAAGAAAATCGCAAATTAGCTTTTGCTAAATTAAAGATGGCGGAGGAAGACGACGTCACCGGCGGTGTAAGAGTCCCTAGTCACCGCTACGATCTCCGTAGCAAAATCGCAAGAAACGTAGAGTTAATCAGCTCTCTACCAGATGTGATCCTCCAACATATCCTCTGCTTTACTCCGACCGAACTAGCCATCAGAACTTCCCTCTTGTCCAAGCGATGGAGGTACGTATGGTGCGACACACCTGCTCTCTCCTTCCATGGTGGCACACTTAAGCTTGCTTCGTTATACAAAACCCAAAATCGTTATACAGCTCCCAAGATGATGACTTTGCAAATCCGAGCCAGCGAGAACCGCGATATTCCACTCCTTAACAGTTGGATCGAGTTGGCCATGTCCCGCAACGTGGAGAATATGTCCCTGGAAATCGTTTCACACTTGCTTGACAAGTATGATTGATGCAGCGAGATATTTGGAAATATTTCAAATATCTATTATTATCATATTTTAATTAATTAATAATTATAGTTCTAGAATATTCTATGGTTTAAGGTTTTGAGCTTTTATTATAAATAGCCGTCTTAGACTCTTAGGCTTCTTGTATTGGGAAGTTGATTGATTAATAAAATTAAAGAGCTTTTAGCTTTTCAGAGAAGAGTATTCTCTAATCCTTGTTTTCGGTAGATCTCGAGAGACCTCAACGATTATAAGAAGACGTAGGATTCGGTATTCGCGGAGAATCAACGAATTCCTCACGTTCTCTTGTTTCTGGTATTCTGAGGATTGTGAATAAATTGTTAATATAGTTTACTAGATTTTATTCACTAAATACATGTGTACATATATGATGGCATGAGGATCAATAAAGTACCATAAAATGTAAAACTTCCAATGTTCCTTAGTGAAAAATGTAAAATATACAAATCTTCCCGATTTGTTTTCCAAAAATGTTAAACTTGTGTGTTGACAAGACGTGTATATAAGCATACTCTATACCAAAGAAGAAGAAGAAGACACGAAACAAAGTTAAAAAGAAGAAATTTTGGTGCAGTGAATTCGAAGAGCAATATAATGAATATTGATTACATTATAACCATCTTGTTAGTTAGTCTCATCATCATCTTAGTTAGTCTCATCATCATCTCGGCTCTTGTGGCGTGTTTCTATTCCGCCAAACGATGTGTCAAATGGTGTGGCGGCGAGGGAGAGTCTGCTAGTGCTACTACTGCGTGATCAACTTTTATTTACTTATTGTTTTTTTATGATGAGTTAAGTTTTAGATTAGTAACCTAAAGCCATAGCAGTCGATGATGATGCAACTCAGCAAATTTTATCTTTATTCCGCCGTTTAATAATTAAGCTTTGGTTTATTTATTGATATTGTACCTCTATTGTTCACATTTAATTGATCTATCAATGATTTTGTTATACATTGCAAACTAGAGTTTACGTTGTTTATAGAATATTATAAAAATAATAAAATACATCTTTATTATTTATCACTGGAATGTAAAATACATCTTTATTACTTATCTTACAATCAATGAGTCTTGCATCAACATCATAAAAGGAAACAGAAACAGATTTGTTCCATAACAAAGCTAAACCACCACCAATACCTAACGGAGAAACACACTTCACATACTCGTATCCAAGTTGAGCGGCAGCATCTCGGACGACGTCATCAGGATTCTTTGTCTCGATCAAAAAGAGTAAGTGAACTACCAGGGACCTTTTAATGCCCCGACAGTTCCAAAAGGCTGTATTCATTTCGTCTCCGGTGGCTTTTGGCCCACCGTGCCTTCACTGTTGGGTGTTGGGGTAGTCGGAGTGGTTCTCCCTGCATTACTGGACTGTGCTGGGGCCTGTGATTGAACATAGAACCAGTTACGGACTTCACGAACTTCAGATTGCCGACTCTGGCGCTTCATGACATGATGTTCTGTGTCTTCCGCAGCGAAAGTTTGCCTCATGTCACAACACACAAGGGGAAAGGCATGAATGTGTTCTGTTGTAGGAGTTGGCTCCATCTTTCTCTTCTTTGGAGCAGCCTGGTTTTCTTCATTCTTTCCACTATCCGTGACATATTTGTCAGCTTTCTCAGTCGTATCCGTTGGATCATTCACATCTGGTCCCTCTGGATTGTAATCTGGATTGTAATCTGGATCATCATCATCTTCTTCAGGAGGAGGAGGAGGGATGTTGTTATTCACTGGACACTCAGAAGCATCGTGTGTAAGCATACCACAGGTAGAGCAGAAACTTCTAAGTTTCTCATATCGAAGTTTTAGTACACATGCTTCATTCCCAAATTAGAAAATGCGTTGAAATCATAGAGGTTCCTCGATGTTCCAAAGTAGTCTGACTCTCACATAATCCACAAGAACAACACCCTCACCACCGAAATCAGTCTCAATGAAGTGACCCAA